ACAATGAAATATCACTTTAAGCTTTAATTTCACTTTATGCAATACTTATCAGCTTGAATTTTCACTTGATTTATTTTCTATCCACTATTTGCTTTCCCCCTCCATGGACATTAAGAAAAGATTATTTGGGGGAAGCAATGAAACAAAAAATCTTAAAAAGAAGACACTGGATCTCATTAAACCCAAGTTTGGAAGAAGGGACAATGGCATAGGGACAGTAAATCAACACAGTCCAAGGACCCAACCCTTGCCTTATTGATGTTTAATGATTATAGATTCATTCATATGTTCTATTCATATTGAGTGACGTTTTTAAACATAAGATTTTCTAAGAAATTGTCCATTCTAAGTTTTAAATGTATTAGCATAAAAGTATTCAAAGTATTTCCCATCTTTATTGATCTGTCCTATATCTGTAGTTATATTCTTTTTTCTTCCAAAAAGTGTGTGTCTTTAAAAACACTGTATCTGTAGTTATATTCTTTTTTTTTTCTTCCAAAAATTATGTGTCTTTAAAAACAATCAATCATGCCTGTGGTCTATCTACTTTGTGATTTCAAAGTAACTAATTTTGAGTTTGTTCATCTCCCTTATATATTTGCTTTCAATTTCACTATCTTCCTCTCTTTTCCTTATTGTTTCATTCCCAAACTACTGCTAGACCAACTAAGAGAGGATCTTTCCTGGGCTACAGTTTTGAAGGATCCTGCATATCCGGTTATAAAATAAATAAATAAATATATATATATATATATATATATAATTTTTAGTATTATCCCAGATAAAAAATATTAAAAAGAAATTATTAAAGATGATATAAATGTGTCTGTCACTCTGTATGCAGTACACATTGTGATATGCAGTATCACATTTCCTGATAAAAGGTGAGGATCATTCATGCAGGGCTGCTCCCAGCCTTCTGCATATGGGAGAGAGCAGCTGCTCCCTAAGGCAAAGAGCTGCTGATAACAGCAACAAGCATTACACCTGGGCCAAGGAAAGGTCCAAGGAGCATAGGTGGGACACTGACTGCTTCCATCACACTCCTCCCCAGGCAACTATTTTTATTCCTTTCCAGTATACTCTCTTCTGTTTGTTCCTACACCTCTCTTTCTTCATACCAAGGACAGTACATAACACTGTTCTACACCTTACCTTTTTTTCACTTAATATGTCTTGAACAGCCTTCTGAAAAATGATACACAAAGCTTCTTTTAGATAGGTATAAGAAGTTTGTTGTGCTATTAGGATAATGACCATGGATAAAAATTATGTACTGGGGCTGGGATTGTGGCTCAGTGGTAGCGYGCTCGCCTAGCATGGGCAAGGCCCTGGGTTCAATCCTCAGCACCACATTAAAAAAAATTTAATTAATTCAAAGACATTGTATCCAACTACAACTAAAAAAATTATGTACTATATATTTTAATAAATAAGAGGTAAAGGATTCTAAGTGCTTTCATCATAAAGAAATTATCAATGTTGAGGAAATAAGTATGGTTAACCTGACTTATGTAATATTTATACACATAATTTTTATTTTTTATATAAATACATAATGTGTTTATATAAAAAATAAAAAATGTACAATCTTTATTTTTCATATTAAATAAGGAAAAACAAAACACATGATAGTCATGAAAGAAAAATACATGAAACCACAATTACAGTTAGAGATTTCAGTACTCCTCTCTCAATTAAAGGAAGGGTCACAGAGTTATATTTTGTGAAGAATTTCTACATGTTTTAGAGGCAAAGTTCTTCAAGTGACTTGGTAGTGATATTATGCAAAACTGAAGTCTAGTCCACCTCTTTCCAGGCTTCTGTCAGCCATTATAGAGACAATCCTGATGTTTTGTTCTTATGCTTGAACTTCATGATTACAGACATTACAACTGCAGTCAACTGCAGGAAAGAGGAGGTGGCGCTCCCTTTTAAAAGCAAAATTAAAAAGAATGAAAGAAAACACTTTGCTTAAAGAACACCCAGAGGTCATCCATCCACTTAACACTAATTTGCCATAACTTGGGGTCTGACCAACCCTAGTTGCAAGAACATCAGAGAAATTTTGCCAAAGACAAATGAAATTATCACAACCAATTGGGCTCAATCATGCTTCATTCCCAAGGGCTGGATACTTAGCCACCCCAAAGAAAACTGGCATTCTATTGACAAGAAAGAAAAAAATATTAAAAATGTTAAGTGGACAATGACCTGTATCTTCCACAATATCTCAGACAGAACAAAACATAATTATAGGCATACCAAAGTAAAAAAAAAAATTCAAATAAGTGATTCTTTTGGTTATCTAGAGATACTACAGAAAGAAAAATGAACTATTCTTGAAGCTTAGTCTAAGGTACACTCTAAGAAAGTGAAAAAGCTTAATCCTAATACAAATGACTCATACATTTCAAAACACAAAATTTAAGGCCTTTCCTCAAGCCCCCATCTTCAGAACCCTTCTGTGCATTTTTTAAGTTTCCAAAAAGCAATGCTTCAATAAAACCTAAGAATTACAATAATTATCAACTACTTTTAAGACAAATAACTTGTTGAGCTTTTGTAATCTATAATCAAATTGAATAGCTCTAATGTGAATCATGATGTGTTCTTTTAGTTGTTAAGACAAAATCAAATCAAAATGATTGTTTAGGCTGAATCATTTATTCTCTTAATAGTAAAATATTTCCTGTATAATAAACATAAAAATTAACAACTGCATGTACAGAAGCTGAGAAAAATAATGAACACACCTACATTAAAGAGGTTTCTCACCAGACACATTCTTATTAGTTCAGAGCAATTTGCATACTAGACAATATTGGTACTTAACTATTTTAMCTTTATGAATTTTTGTGGGTTTATTTACCAAATGTACAAGAAGAATAAGTAAYAAGAAAGTAAATATTTTTCATATATTTAAAAGCTTCCACTGCAATCAGATTTATCTGGCAAAAACAAAAGGTCATTCGTGTACTTCAGTCTAGGATAGAGTAAGCATAATTTTTAATCTAGTTTTAAGTTTTCAATCTGCTGCTATTTTCCCAAAAATATTCAAAAAAGTTGTTTGGTAAAGAACAGATGAATTATCTTTGGTAAAATAGAACTGTAAGTTAAATTGGTGAGGTATGTATTTGGGTGATGTCTGATTAGATTAATACAAATAACAGCAGATTAAATGGTTGRCTTTGAAAGATGACAGATACTATTGTTAGGCAGTGAGGTTACAGCTTTCAGAGAATAAAACTTTACACAATGATCTTTCAGTAATCCACCTCCCACGTAAGACTGCTTCAAAGAGTATTGAGATATTTATCCTCAAATGCTTCTGTCTTCCAAGATAGCATGAAAGCCACGTGCAAAGAAGTGCTTGCGCGTTCCCACTGTAAAGATGTCTATGATACAATAAATTAATTCTGCAGTACTGAATAATCAAAATGAAATCAAACAGCAGATAGAGAAAAGGTACATTTTAATGTTCAAATGACAGTGGAAATTTATTATTTCCAATAGTAAGGTCAAATGAAAATGTGCCAACAACTCTACTGTATTACTTGACCTTGAGTAATATAATACAATTTGTGCTACAAGAACACAATTAAATAAGATGTGAAAACAACTATAAACAGTCAGATTTTCATACAGCAATAATGTTACCATTGTCTTTACAACTTTTATATCAACACATTCATTAAAATTTCTCATACTATTAGTGAATCAACAATATTCACTTGGTGATATCAGAACATTAAATTATGTAAGCCACAATACATTTTAGATTAGAAAAATACAAAATCCTCAATATGCACTCTAATGGCACTTTTATCTTTAAAATAAAATGTGATGTGAGTACTTACTGCTATTCCAACAATCTGAACTCTCAGAGACAATGCATGGTTTTCATTCATGAAGTGAATTATTCTCTGAATCTACCAAATCACTACTAAGAACAGAAACTTACATCTAAATTACAAGCTGCTGTCTTTCTGTAGCTGATCTACATCACATGCAGCAGATGGATATGGCTGCTGGAACCAAGATATCCACTGCAGCTTGCAGCATGCCCTTTGAACAACCTGTCTCTAACTACATCACTACCTGTGTGGCATTGCTCTCTCCTACCTGAAGCAACACAGCCCTACACAGTGGGGCCCAGAATGGCAAGATCATCACATCTGTAAACCAGTCAGACAATCTTCTACTATTTAACCTTAGGGAGACATGTGGGAGGGCAGAGACTAAGAGGAGAGAAATGTTTAAGGGGATTCCTTTTCTTCCTTTCTATCTGTTACCCCTACAAATGTAATTAGTAGTTCTCCTCTATCTTTTCAGTATGTTCCATAAGCCTCTTTCAAATACATCTTCCTACCTCCCACTTTCTAACAAATCACAATTCAGAATTGAGGTCTATACTACAAAATCTCCACAACCTTCAAGACTGAGTCAAATATTACCAGTTGCATAAATCCACCTTCAGTTTGTCACAGACAAAATCAATTTCTCCAACTTTCATACTCACATTGCACTTGCATATCTATGTCTATCTTAATAGTCTTTAAATCCCTAGTCACATCCATGTTTTCAACCCTGGGTCCTAGTGCAGAATAGTATAATAAACTAAACTGAAACTGTATACTCACTAAAAAAAGGCATTGGAGGTTAGTGAACAAAAACAAACAATGGCAAAAAACAACATGCCCAAGATCAACTTGCATCTCAGTTCAAAAATTGTCACCCACACCCACATATGCACACAGAATAATATCACAAGATAAAAGAGAAAAACTGTAGGTTCTAAATGAAGTCACTTTCCTAATAACCAGGTGTCCTGAGAGTGTGAGTTTATTCCACTGCTTCTCTGTCTCTAAACCTATACCAACTGTAGTCATTATAACCAATTATAGAATTGAGGAAATTTAAGATGCTGATAAAGAATCAACATCCTGAAAACAGGTACATTAAAAACAAGCTGAAGATGCCTCCTGAGCTCTGATTACCTGTAATGCTCACTGACAGGAATGTTCTGAGAGAAGTACAAAGCTGCTGTCCTTGCTCTCCAATGCCATTTCTTTGCAGGAAGGGTATAAAGAACACAGTCCTGTAGCTCTTCCTGGAGCAGATCCACCAGCTGTTTATGGGAGCCTCCATAGAATGCCTCAATGATAAGAATACTCATTGGACCATTCAAACCTTGAGAGTCAATACAAAAAAAAAAAACAACATATATTTTTCAGATATATATGAAAATCCTTTAAATGTTTAAATTTTATTCTCAAAAAGAAAATACAAATAATTTAGTCATGTGTAATTTTTAAAAATATGCATCCTAAACTGGGCACAGTAGTGCTGGTGTGTAATCCCAGCTACTTGGGGTGCTGAGGCAGAAGGATTTCAAGTTTGAGGAAAACCTGGGGGAAACCTGAGGGACTTAGGGAGACCCTGTCTCAAAACAAAACAAAACAAAACAAAACAGGACTGGGGATGTAGCTCAGTGGTAGATCATCCCTKGGTTCAATCCCTACATTGAAAAACATAAAAATAATAAATAAATAATTATATGTGTATGTATATACACATACATATGTTTTTCACATATACATAAATTAAAATTAAAAACAGACATCTCAGGGGCTGGGAATGTAGATCAGTGGTAGAGTGCCTGCCTAGCAAGCACAAAGTCCTGGGGGTCGGGGGGAGGAGGAGATATCAGCTTACATAATTTAATGTTCTGATATCACAGAGTGCATATTGAGATCCCCACAGGAGGAGGAGGAGAAAAGAAATCCTATCTTTTAAAAATACATTAAGTCTTAAATTTTTGGAATCAATATTTTTATTTTTWAAAAAAGTGTCTTTATTTTTTGCTTGTTTTCCTCATATCCTCAGATTACTCTATTCCATAACCCTAAGCTTTGTGTCCTACCCCAAGAACACAAAAGCCTTCTCCTCCTGTGATCATTCACAATCCTGGTTGGTTGAGCTGTGAGCCTGACTCAGTGACCCAAGAACCTACTTGACCTGAAGCCCTTGTTTTACAGTCACTGATCTCATCTTCTAATAAAGATTTCCACTCTGAGAGCCCTTCATTTGTAAGGTCCCTCCCAGGTTGGAAATGTTCAGATTCTATGACTTTCATATTAATCCATCTTTAAATTCATCAGCTATCACTGCCCCTAATGAATCTRTATTTTAAAGAAAGTCATTCATATTTGAATCTCAATTTTCCAGTATTAAAAACTTAAGGGTTAGGGTTGTGGTTTAGCTGTAGAATGCTTGCCTAGCATGTGTGAGGCCCTGGGTTCAATTCTCAGCACCGTATATAAATAATTAAAAATAAATAAATAAAGGTCTGTTGACAACTACAAAAAAAATTAAAAGAAAAAACTTTAAAAAAACTAAAGCATAAGATTTTTTGAGACACTACATATACCTTGATGATTTCCCCACTACTGTCAGTATCCCACCCCCAAAGGAATATCAAAAAGTTGAGTAAAGCTACATATCTGTTAACCATCAAGGATTCTCCAAAGTCTTTATACAAGAAACCTAAGAAGGATAAAGTAGCAAAAAAAATGGGTTTATTAATAGTAAAATTTCATCACTGAGAATTTGGCTACTAAGCAATTTTTCATTTTAATAATATGATTTTTGTTAATGTGCTCAGTGAAATAATCTGTATGAATCTAAAACTTTCACATACATTTCAAATTTTATACTATTTCCTGTAAGACATAAGGCAGAAACATCATTTTGTAAATGAATATTAGATTGCTTAAAAAATATTCCAGATGTTTGAATTTTCTTTTGAATGAAGTAAATACCACTCATTGAATAGCATATTGCTTTCTTAAATAATGTTGTTCCGTAAAATTATTAGTCTCAATGACTCAATAATGCTTTTCACTAATAAAATTGTATTGCACATGCTCAGTCAAGTTGTCTACTTAAATTGTGTTTCAAAGGAAAAAGATTCAAATAGTTCTCTGAGAAATGAGTGAACTGAAAAAAAAAGCTTTTTTTCTTGAAATCTGAATACCAGTGAGCAGTTGTATTGTGTATACATGTTTGCACGTTTATACACGCATGCACGAGTATTTATTTCACTTATATGTAAAGTAAGAAACAATATTTGCCAGAGAAGGTATAAGTTTGAATTTCAGTTCCATCACTTTCTAGCTGGATGGCCTTGAACAAGTTACCTAACTTTGGAGGACTCAGTCTCATCTTCTTTAAAGTGAGTAACAATACTAATCTCAGCAGTGTGTTATACAGATAAAATCATGAATGCTTCCAAATAAAAATAAGGTATTTACTCTTTTAACAGTATAAATCACTTTTCTTAAGGAAAAAGGTAATTTTCAAATCTTCCAGCATTTTAAATTCAATAATCTTCATTTGTAGCCCCCTATCTACCAGGCATAGGTAGGAAAGGTGGATGTACACATGCATTTGAAATACACAGGGTATTGCCCTTTTCTCATCATTYACTTGTATTACAAATATGAATTTGAGATCCCCACAGGTTTATGGGTAAGAGGTAAACTCAGAGACTGAGCTATGCAAAGCTTAATTTTTTAAGGCCCATTGGAGACTTCTGCTTTAATAATGCAATGCTCAGTGAGTTCTCAAACACTGTCCAAGTTCAACAAAGTGGTAGGCATTAATCCTGCAAATGATGGAAACTTCTAGAAAGAAACTGAGGGAAGAATGAAAGAGAATTTTGAAAATTATGTCAGAAACTTAAAGACAGATAGATAAAAGGCAGTTAAACATTGTTTGCTATATTACATCACAAATATCTACTATCTAGCTTAATTTCCTCCAACCTAATCACACTAAAGTGTACATGCTCTATGTATCCTTAAAAGGTCTCTAAAAGGCTCCTGTATAAATGACCTGAGATAATATTTCACTAAGTGATGGAATGTGATATAAACCTCTCTCTAAAGAATATTTTACTCACATAACCTCAAAGAAAGCAACATCAATATTGGGGGGAAAAAACTGCTTTCTGATTCTTCACCACTCTGCCCTTTTCCATGATTAATCTACAGTATGTATTGTGACATAGATTTATTTTACAGATGTTTCTTATGGGTGTGAATCACAACTTATCTGCTAATCACCAGCCACTGTGGAGGCAGTATGTGTAGGTGCTGCTATAGATTCAAGACACTCAGTAAGCAGAACTGAGCACCAAGCATGTGGGAGGTCGAAAAACAGAAAAAAGGAAAAAAAGATTATAGCTGCAGTAGATTTCCAACCCTTTAATAGCTCAACACGAAGAGTGGAATGTACAGGTTTGAACTAGCATTTACTTGAGCATTTTTCTAGTGGCCAATGGGCGTGCCTGCATTTGGGGTATTTTTCTAGGGAGAGTAACTATGTCCTACCATCTCTGAAAACTATACTTAGTGGCTTTGATTCATGGAAATTTGTTCTGCTTGTTTTGTGGAGACAGACATATCCTGGCAATTCCCCACTTACTTCTATTGCAACTTTTGTGGCAAGAAGAAAATATATTGTTCCCTGTACTCTTCTTGAAGCACAACCTGGAACAAAGATGATTCCCATTAGATACAAACAAAAAGGGAAAAACTCATTTTTAAATAATATTCAAACCAAATATCATTACAGCACATTAAAGAGTAGTTCAAATACTTTTACTGTGCCTGAGTTTTGTTTTAGAAAACACTGGCTGAAGCAAATAGTCACGAGGTTGGAAAAAAAAATACCCACTTTGCTGTTACAATAGAATTTGCTAAAATGTTATAGAAATATACTATTTGCCCATTTTAGCAAAACATAGATAAAACTACAGGTGGACACTCAGACACTGCGGAAGTTCATAAACACACATGCAAAGACAACATTTCTGGACCACTAGCACTAGCTAGTAAGGAAAGAGTAGAAGCAGAAAGAATAAAACCTCCAAATTTAAAGTGCTAATATCAAAGCAAGGACAGGGTCTCCTTGATGTCCAGAGGCTGTGCCCAAGTGYCTACCAAAAGATGGCAGTGAGCCTACACAGAGCCAAACACCTATGTGTAACATAGGTGCCTGAGTTCATGAACCTGTTAAAGCATTATCACAAGTATTACCACAGACCTTAAACCCTGGAACATTTAAATGGGTTAAGTTACAGAATCTGGGGTGTCAAAGGTGTGACATTTTAAAAGGAAAAAAACAGACCAAAGGGGGTGGGGGGAACATGAACACTTCTTGTATTGGAGAACAAATACCAATCAGACACTGACTTCATGACACTAAGAATATCCCGTGACATTTAAAAAAAAAAAARAAGAGTATACGGCCACTTCACTCTTGCTCCTTAAAAAAGCAGATAAAATATTTCCAAAAAAAAAATTGTAGCAACTTTTTAAGTTTTTCTGCTTAAACAAGTAAGCTTCACTTAAAAAAAAAAAAAAACTCATTTCTTCAGCAAATTTTGTTCCCCAGTGGCACCAGATGAATGAAAATCTCCTATACTATTAATGCTTTATGAAAGCTTGACTCATTATCAATACTATGATTTAATGATACATGGTTTAATACTAAACATTAAATTTGGCAATATAAAATGAGTCAAACTTATATCTGAGACAGGAATTTTATACCATGTCAAATGCTATTTAAGATCACCAAATGACAAAATGATCTATTTAAGAATTATCTGACTTCCCAAAAATTTATGTTTATAATTAAAAGGGGATAAAGTGAAAAATCACAATAGCATTTCATAAAAACATTTTGACAAAAAATGAAAAAGTGCCATTAGCATCATCTCAATTAAAAACTAATATTGCATTGATAAGATAAAGAACAAAAGTTGCCTGAAACCAATGCTGTGAATATTTTTAAATTTTTATTAAAACTTTTTGTCATTATACCTGCATTTATTTTAGGCTTGACCCAATTTCTTTATTCCCTGAGCCATGATCATTTCAAGGTGAACTACATTTTTGTCTACCTCCTCTAGTAGTTACAACTGCCGTAGTAGCTGAAAAAATGTTTAACAGTATAGATAAAGGAAATTTGCAATATGTTACTGGTCTACTGAAAAAGATGTGCTAAATACAAATGTATCATGTTGTTAAAAGAAAAAACCCAAATCACTAGATATACATAATTAGTCCTCAACTCAGGTACCTACACTGTTAAAATAATTTTCCAATCTAATACCTTGTAAT